TCATTAATAATTTTTAATATTGACTCCATGTTGCTATTTTGGATATATTGGGTTAAATAAAATACACTATTAAAATTAAGTTCATCTATTTCTTACTGCTTTTTAAAGATGTGGCTGGCTACTAGATGATTTAAAATTACTCAATTGGCTTGCATTATATTTCTATGGGGCGACACTGATCTATGAGGTAAAACTACTTACGTCTAGAAATCAAATCCCAGGAGCTTAAAATCCACATTTCCTAAATGTGAACTGATGTTTTTTTATTTCAAGTACTATTGAGATATAGTCAAATTCCATTAAGACAAAAGCCCCTTCAGGATTTGATTAATTGGGTTAATGGGGACTTTTTAAGAAGCTTTGGCTTTGTTTTTATTCTTCTATCATCTGGTGATGCTGTGCCTGCGGGACTGAGAGCCCCCCAAAGGACAAATGCGGTCTCCTCTCAAGGTTCCTCTGACACTGTACTTGCACCTGCTCCAGGAACTAGACTCTCCAAGAGCCTGAACCTGTGGCCTGGCAGGGCATTGAGGCTCACAGGGTGGAAGAAGGAAGCGGGTGGGCCTGCCATGCTTGGGGCGGTGTCTGCACCACGATGGCCCAGCTCAGACCTGTAGATGGGCAGCTGGTGGGGCTGCAGGTACTCGGGGCAGACCTGTGTGGGAGGCACCCAGGCTGAGGGCCAAAGGAAAGGGATTCCTCTTCTCAGGAGTAAATGCAAGGGGCTCATTGTCTCTAGAAACCAGTTTTTGCATGGAAATCAGAGGCTGTGAGTGAGTTTCAGGAAAAAACAGCTCCCACTGGTCTGGGAAGACCACGGACTTCTTGGAGGCCAGGCCCCAAGAGAAGGGCACCCCAAAGCTGGGGGTTGTGGGAATAGGGAAGACAGAATGAGGGGCTCAGTGACCTAGGGACCTGGCACCAGAAGACATAATGATGGAAGGAAGGGCTGGATTAGGAAAACTTTCTCTGATCTCCCGAAATTCTGTAATCTTGCCATATTGTTTTTATATTATTGAGGCGGGGGCGCCTGGGTGGCTCAGTCGGTTAAGTGACTGCCTTCGGCTCAGGTCATGAGCCTGGAGTCCCTGGATCAAGTCCCGCATTGGGCTCCCTGCTCGGCGAGGAGCCTGCTTCTCCCTCTAACCCTCCCCCCTCTCATGTACTCTCTCTCTCTCATTCTCGCTCTCTCAAATAAATAAATAAATCTTTATATTATTGAGGCGGGGGGGCGGCGGAGGGAGCTAGGCAGGGGGATGCAACATCTCTTGAAAACTTACCCCCACTTCTAAGCTCTCTGCCTCTGGTCTTTCCTGGCAATGGTTATTCCTTCCTGACTCAGGCCTGAGGATCTGGACTAGGAATTATACTCTTAAATTTCTTAGGAAAAGCAAAATAGAATTCCATCCTCTGTTTTCTCCCTCTTTCTCACTGTGCCAACTATAGGAAAAAGAGAAAAGAATATGCAAAGTGAAAAAGATTCAAGAGAGGTTGCAAGGCTAGAAAGTGAGTAAGAAATGAAAACAACAAAACAAAATGTTATTTTTAATTTGCTTTCAGACATCAGGAGTGCAGGTCGGCCATTTCGGACAGGGAGGTAGACACAGCTGCGCAAGATGCTCCAGGAGTGAACTGGGCAGGAGGCAATTTAGGATGAGAACCAGGGAAAACCTGTCCCTAGTCGCCTTGCCCCTGGGGGGTGGTGAGTCTCCTCAGCGGACAGAGGGATTGCTCTCAATCTTGCCAGAGGCCCGGGAGAAGCAGGGCCGCTGCTGGCCGTGGGTGGGGGTGAAGGGCCTGGCCTCTCGAGAGGGCTCTTCTTCCATCCCAGAGCCATTGTCTGCCTGTGAATGTGCTTTCATCAGCTGCACACTGTATTTATGGCTTCTCGGAATTTTCCGAATGAAGTAACTTTTTTCCCCAGACCATTTTTCTTCACAACTGAAATCAGATCCCCACAGTCCATGGAGACAAAACAGCATGACATCAGCCGCCGGGGAGTTGTCATTTCAGACATGGTCGCAGCTTTTTGTTCAAGATCAAATGGATGTGATCTGCCTTGTGGAGGTCGCATCCTGCCTCAGCAGAGGGGATGGTCCTCTGGGCTCAGCTGGAGGAACTGGGAGGACCACAGATATGCCAGGAGGACTGCAGGGCAGGATGGGGCAGGAGGGGCCTGGTGGGGAGGTCTCTCTGCTTCTTCTCTAACTGCAGAGCTCCGGAGATGCGGCTCCATAACACAGTCATGATGGGGACGTGGGCACAGGGATACTGATGTCTGTGTCCCTCCTTTCTTGGCCTCGGATGCTTGGTGATAATAGCCAGGTACAGAGAGCATGGACCTGGGTTAAATGGTCTGGACTCTGCTTCTGTCTTGTCTTGCAAAGCTTCCAGGCCTCAGTTTCCTCCTCTATAGAAGTGCGGAGGGTAAAAAATCCCAGTTCTGCCACCCTACAGAGATGCACTGGGACCAAATAAGAGAATGAATGTCTGGACCTGGCAAGCACGGGCCCTGCTTCTCCAGTTCTTGCCCTTAGATCTTTCAACATTTAGAGGGAAGTGCTCTGTAGGTCCTCAAATGTCCTGGGCTTCCTTCAGGGAAGGTTCAGGGAGATGGGCAGAGATTGGGGTGAACCTCCTCTTGAGCTAATAATTAAGGTATTATTTAAAGAAAGCTCAAAGAAGAGAGGAAGCCATCCAGTCATCCGGGAATCCAATCAGCCAGTGCCTGAGGGCCTGACCAATTACAAGAGAACAGAAGTTGTCCTTTCTGCAAATAAATGCTTCCTAAAGTGTAGCGTTAGGGGCTGGCACAGTTCTAGGTAGTGGTTGGCCTAAAGGGAAGTAATCATATAAATACACTAATAACTGAGAGTTACCAGAACCTGCATCCAGCACTTTACATACTTTATCTCATTTGAGTCTCTGGTTAGTGTTACTATTTTCATCTAACAGATGAAGCTGAGGCTAGGGAAGAAGGGTAGGTAACCTGCCCAAGGCCACTCTACTACAGTGGTAGGCTTGGGATCCATAGCCAGGTCTGACTCTAAGGCCCACATGCTTACCCACTAAGCCATTCTGTCTCCCAATCACAAATAGAGGGTGTCTGTGGAAAGGTGTGCCTTGTTTATTTTGTTTTCATATAAACCTGGCAAACAGTGAGATAGAGAGACCAAGTTGTGTGTTTATGTGTGTGTGTTTCCCTTGGAATGCTGAAGGTGGGGCATCTTATCTCATCCCTTCATATCTATTCTTGCAACTCAGAAACCCCAAAAGCAACAGATGGTCTGTTATAACTTATTTTATCCAAATTAAATTATCAAGAAACATCATACATCCATACATATTTTAAAAGGCTGACGTGTGAAATAAGTTGACCATCTGTATTTATTCCACAGCTGGAAATGCTATTTGAGCAGTTGTAAGCCAGTGAACCAAAGTTAGGCCCCAGTGTTGAGTAATAGGGCTCTATTAATGACAACAAAGAATCTCAATCAGCAGGAGAAAAGGGGTTTACCCACTTAACTCTGGAATTGAAATTATTTCTTTCTAATAAGACTTCTGATTAAATAGAAGTTGTATTCTGAGGAGGTGAGGAGGGTCAGATGTTTAGTCTGTCCAAAGAGAATCATAATTTTGCGGGATGGGAGCTCTGGGCCCCTTCTTTTTATAGCATTCTTTGAGTCAGGACCAAAAGAACAAGAACTCCTTGCTTTTCAAGTCTTTCTCTCTTCCAATTGCAGCTCAAGACTAGGGCAGGGAAGAAGGCCTTGGAAGGGTGTAGGGTTTGTCAAAGGGGAAATAAGATAGGGTAGAGCTCCTGTGTTGGGGCCTGGGACTGCCACTTTCCAGAATGGGAATTCCAGTATGGCTGAAGGTTTAAATGAAAATCTAGTGCATTCCCAGTTCATGTGACCAACACAAACTTTTTGAAAATCATAAGAAGTATAGTGGGTTTCTAAGCTCAGCCATTAAAACATTTTTGTAATTAGGCAAGATGATGTCACCACATCTCTGGGGATCTGACATGGCCAACATAATCGCAGATACAAAAATCATGAGAGAAAAATATGCTTCTCAAACAGAAAAAAGAGCTCAACTAGAAAGAAAATATAAGCTTCCATAACTCTCATTTACTCTGTTATCTTCAAAAGTAGTTCTATTAGAAGAACCCCTTTTCAAAGAATATAGTCAACGTGGCTACCCACATCTAGACCTTTTTTCATGGAACTCAATGGAAATCATCCTCTTCAGTCCTACATGGTGTGCATTTGGCATTTTACAACTTCATAGTTGGTTTAAAAGGTACACATCCCTTCTCAATGTAAACTTGAGACTGGACAGTCCAGCAGTCATGAGCCTAAGCATTTTCCTTCTTCCTGTCACTGGAGAGATCTCAGGGCTTTCTCTTTGTGGCTGAGAAGTTCCTTTATCGAGAAAGGGCAGCCAGAGCTAATGAGATGATGCCTGGAAGGTTCTACGAGCTCTTATAAGGCTGCAGGTATGAAAAATCATGGATAGGAGTTTTAATTAATAAAGCGGTTATTGGGGTGCCTGGGTGGCTCAGTCTTTAAGCGTCTGCCTTCAGCTCAGGTCATGATCCCAGGGTCCTGGGATCGAGCCCCACATTGGGCTCCCTGCTCGGCAGGAAGCCTGCTTCTCCCTCTCCCACTCCCCCGCTTGTGTTCCCTCTCTTGCAGTCTCTCACTCTGTCAAATAAATAAAATCTTTAAAAAAAAAATAAAGCAGTTATTAAAGCTTCTTCAGCAAATCAGAAATTATGTGATAATGTGTAGATCATCTGCACATAAAAAGTGAGAGTTCAGTCAATAAACCACACAATTTATTCTGCCAAGAGAAAAGGAGAACTTATATTGAGTCCCTATATGAGTACCAAATACTTTCAGATATGGTGACTCACTTAATGGGAGAAGCACCATGTTCTAATGGCTACGCACAAAATCGCCAGAATTAGACAGACTCTTGGTTTGGTCTACTCCATGACCTCAGGAAACATACTAAATTTTTCAAGCCTTGTTTTCTTTATGGGAATAACAACACTATCAACATTTATAGGGCCAGGCACACATACTTGCAGGCACACAGCACTCAAGTTATTTTTACTCATTGTTAAGTCTGTGAGGTAGGTATTAATTGTTTTACAGATGAGGACAGAGGTTTAGAAAGCTTACATTATTTGACCAAGGTCAGTCCACACTAAGTACAGCTGAGATCTATCAACTCCCAAGTCTGCCTGCTTTTCAGTATAACCACAGCCTCCACTGTCTGATCCAGAGCTGGAACATAAGCTAAAATAACAGATGAATGTGAACAGTTCAGTAAGGTAAAATATAGAACTGACATCTGATTAACTATGTCTCCCTCCCCTCAAGTCAGGGGTTCTACTAAAATACAGGAGAATCCAAGCCTAAACGTTTACTACACAGTAAGAACTTGGGGATCCCTACATTTTATTTTCTCCTAAACTTGAGTCACAGGCTAAAGAACAGCTTGTGCTGATGGAACTGTACTAACTAGGACTATCCAAAGTAAGTTATAGCTTTTTGCCAGCTTTCTGTGCCAGTGACCTAGAAACTATTCCAAAACCTATTTTCGCTTCTTCAGGGCTGAAATTTCAGTGAAACAGCCCAGCCAACTCTGACCCAGAGTCTTCAAATTTAGAAATTAATCCCCAAAGAAAGGGAACATTAATTTTTATTGTGACAGAGAATAACCTTCTCCTAGCTCAATTATAGGAAGAAATAACTAACTCGCAATGCCACACTTCTAAATACTTGCCATTTGCACCATGAAGATGCAAGAGAAGTAGGCTGACAATTGTTCTTTAACCTCCAAAAAGGTTTTATGGCTTATGGACACATACAAAAATACACAAGTATTCTGTAGAGCTAACGTTGCATGCCATACAATTTTAAAAGCACAAAGAAGAATACTGCAAAAAAGAGAAAGATAAACAACTGAAATTTGCTGAAATAGGTTTGTCCATAAAATAATATATGCACACAGTAACTTGTGATGATTCCTACAAATAAAAAATTAATCCATTTAGTTTTTTTTTCTCAAGAGTAGATTAACTATTGTACATCTCAAGTTGGAATTACCCTAAGTCAGCTTATTATTAAATTGATCCTTAGACTAATTTGGACATGAAAAAAATAACCTAGATTAAAAACAAAACCTTTAGGAAGGAAAAGGGGGCAAGAAGAATCTACTGACCACCCCTAAGTGAGTGATTCCTAAGTAGATACAATGATAGTTTTTTTCTGACTGTGGGTTATTCTCCTATCTTCACTCGTTTCTCACTGCTTTTTTAAAAAATACTACCAAAGATGTGGGAAAGGACACATGGGAACACGTACTGAAGAGCTCACTTGACATGCCTAAGACATGTCTGATACACGAGAGAACCAAGCGGAGAACAGCTGTGTGAAGCACCCTCAAGCAGGGCATTTATAACTCAGGGCTCACATTCCTAGTCCTGCTGCCATCGACCCCCTACCTTGAATTAAAAGTATACAGCAGACGACGGGATTGAAGAAATAGTTAGTTGTTCTAATAAGAAAAAGTACTGTGGCTGACCAGTGAGAAACAGGCAACACCGTGCCTCTGACGGAAATTCTGGGGCCTTCTGCTTAGCCTCCCCACAGCATTTCCACAGTATAAGGTGCTTTACAGAGAACGTGCATTATCTGATGTGGATTTTTTTTTTTTTTTTTTTTTTTTTAGAAGTGAAAGACTTCTCAAAGTGTTTATCAAGAGAAAATGATAGGTTTATGATGATTCTCCCATAAACAAATAGACTGGGGTTACAGAAAAATACATTCTTGGCTTATGACATGATCAACTCACTGATTAGATCAGTATTTTGGTTAACTATTTAAGTACCCAAAACACCATGGCAAGAAAGTTTGTATTTATGTATCTAACACCAGATACTTGTATTTTTAAGTAACATTTCCGATAGCCTATGGGGAAGCTGGAGATGTGGGTAAGGGAAGTGTGATAAGAGTAATACACTACATCTGGATTCACAAAACCGTTCTGCCCCTTTCTTACTTGTGGGACCAGTCATTCCATCCCTCTTGGTCTTTTTCCCCTCCCTAGATGACTCCTAATGTCCCTTCATCTCTAAAATTTTGTGATTATAGTAACTTGTTACAATGTTCATTTTTCAGGCTTCACTCACGATTCATCAGAATGCTAGAAGAGAACCAGGACATTCGATTTCCATAGTTTAGAATAATACCTGCTTATTCAGCAGAACTTAAATCCTTTTTTGGAAGAGAGAGACATATGAATAAAGTAAACTAACAATGGCAGCTATGCCAGAAACCTATTTTTGTTTCTTAGGGGCTGAAATAATTGTATTTTGAATAGGAGGCAACAAACTACTGTTTTCCATTGCAAAAGGTCAGTGCATTTTCTGCTGTTAGTTTCCAGAAACTGACAGTTTTGTTGTGGTCCTATCAATTCATACTAATAAAAATAACTAACTATCATCCCCTATCATGATCCAAAAATAAATTAAGGGGGCTTAAATAATACAGAATTGCATAAATAAAAAGTGAACATTTAGAACAGGAAAATAAAACTAAAGATGAGCATACAAAATAAGCCAGGAATGAGGTTCTAATAAATCACCATTAACGGCCTCCATTACAACTGCTTCTAGTGGAACCCAAATTTGGCATTAAGCTTTCCAACATCCTGTATGAATGAGGAAGCCTACCTGATCAATTACATAACTCATAGAGAAAATAAGATGAAAGCAAAAGCTCAGCGGAAACGCAGTTGCTTGCAGTGGAATAAGCAAAAGCTCCTCTTTGGGGGTCTTCATAAAGAATTATGCCAACAGCATCCTCAGTAACTTTCCTTAAGTAGATGCAGTGGGTGGGTACACAGGGCTAGTCCTCAAGACAATTCTTACTTGAAAATGATGGCATCACAGCCAAGCAGAGGGAGACATCACAGCACGATGGTTAGGAGAGATTCCAGTCCTACACTGTCCAAGTGCAAATCCCAGCTCTACTGTGTGACCTTGGGCAGGTTATTCCGACCTGGCTCAAGTGCCTTAGTTTCTTTAACTGTGAGGTGAGGATAACAACAGCAATTTGCAAAGATTAAGCAAGTTAATGAGCATTGGATAGTGTTACTTACCACTTATTAGTGAAGAGCTTAGTAGAAGTAACTGGGGTTGGTACTGCCATAATACAATTCAGTATCTAGCTCTACACTGATCTGACTTGACCCCATAGATTTTTAGAACAGTGCTGTTCAAAAGTGTTTCTGCAAAAATCTGTGCTATTCAATACAATAGCCTCTTGTGGATACAGAGCACTAGAAATGTGGATAGTTTTGCTTTCAAATGTAAAATGGATTTGGGTTTTAGGCTCAGATAACTGTGCTAATGAAGAACTAAATTTCTTTTAAATAACCACAAATAACCAGTGGTTACTGCACTAGACAGCACAGATACAGAAATTTCAGAAAGTTTGAATAGTACTGATCTATAAATATCTTCCAAGTAATATTCTCTAAATACCAATATAAGTTTTTGATGGGCATTTGGCAACAAGGACTCCAGATTGTATCCCTTGACATCTAACTGGAGTGTGGCCACCTCCACTGCCATGTAAACACAGCCCCTACACCTTGGACTGTGGACCTCCGTTTCTGATGTGCAAAGTCCAAGGTGACTAAACAGAATGCCCACCTATCTGTGCTGTGAGGGAAGCCAAGGAGGTATCCATGGCAAGGCCAAGATCATCCCTAGGAAACTGCTTTGAAGCTACTTCAGAGCACAAAGGAATGGGCTTGATCCCAGAGTTCTACTTTGATCAGCACAGTTGGAATTGTTTGGACTTGAACAATTTTATTTTTTATTTTTAAGATTTTACTTATTTATTCGAGAGAGAGCGAGAGAGCACAAGCAGGGGAGGGGCAGAGAGAAGCAGGCTCCCTGCTCAGGACCCCAAGATCCCAGGACCCCAGGATCATGACCTGAGCCAAAGGGAGATGTTTAACCGACTGAGCCACCCAGGCACTCTGGAACCGAACAATTTTAAAGGGTAGTTTAACCAGATGCTGGCTTCTTCTCCCCGCCCCCCGCCCGGTGTTCTATTAACTTTGAGAAATGCTATTTCCTGGTGTACCCTCTAAGATAAACTATTTGGAAAAGGTACATCAAGATGACCAAATGAGAGAAGGTATAGAATGAATATGAGTCCCAGATAAAAGTAACAATTGCTAAAATCAATATAATGATTTCATATAAGTCATGTAATATAAAGGCAAAATAAAGGCAAAGTAATGGATAATAAAATGTGTATTTCGATATATAAATGCATAGGCACAGCCACACAAGAAGCAATAAAGTCATCAGTACCTATATACAGAATTGTGTTGGTAACTCAATTATCACCAGTAGCACTGGTAACAAGATTCTTTGAGACAGGTGTGGTTCTTGGTCAAGTTTTAACAAAATAAAGTAGAATCTTCCCTTACTGATCTCATGGTTGTATTCTTGGAAAATTCAGTGTATGTTAAAACTCTATAAAAAATGGATTTGGGTTTAAGGCTCAGATAACTTGTTTTTTTTTTTTTTTTTTTTTTTTGAATGTTCAATAGACCATTCAAGAATCATGACATATGGAACAATTCTTTGTTGTGCTAAACCTTCCCATGTGCTGTGGGACATAAAACATCTCTGACCCCTGCCCAGTAATTGCCAGCAGTACCTCCACTCATTTCTAAAACCATTGCTCCAAGCCAATCATATGAGTTCTATCACTCCAACCCTCACCAATAACTGGCTCATCAATCCAGGCTTCACTGTCAGTGCATGGCCATGGTTGGTTTGAGAATAGGGAACATGACATAATGTCAGCCAATGAAACAGAGGAAGTTGCTGGGGGCCTGGCAGGAAGTTTCCTAGGAGAAAACCACAGGAAAGACAGTCTCTTTCTTTTTCTCTTCATGGTTACAAATGGCTGTGAGGCCTGAGAATTCTAAACTCATTTCAGAAGCAGCTGGAGGATGAAGTGAACAAGCAGGAGGGCAGAGCCAGAAGCACAGGAAAACAGGTAAATTTGGATTGTCACTCTTGGGGGTCTACTCTACCTCTAGACTTCCAGTTACATCAATCAGTAATTTCCTATGGTTTAAACCACTTTTAATTTGGATTTTGGTTTCCTGCAACTGAAAGCACTTTGATACATACACAAACAACTTTGTAAGACAAAGAATAAGGCCTGGTTGAGAAAAAAAAAAACAAAAAAAACCCACCCAAAACAACAAAAGGTGAATATTGTTACAGACTTCTATACCAAGTATACACCAATTATACTTTTTTTTTTTTAACCTGTGGTAAATGAGCCTGCATGCTCTTATGTAAAGGAGCTACACCGTTCACGAGTGTGCAATTCTTCCATCAAGCGACAGGCATACCATGGAAGAAGAACGACCAACACAGTTCGCACATGCAGCCCGTTAGAACATGTGAAAGGTAAAAAGCTTTTAAATCTAAAAAGAAAAAATAGGGGCGCCTGGGTGGCTCAGTTGGTTAAGTGACTGCCTTCGGTTCAGGTCATGATCCTGGAGTCCCGGGATCGAGTCCCGCCATCGGGCTCCCTGCTCGGTGGGGAGTCTGCTTCTCCCTCTGGCCCTCTCCCCTCTCACGTGCTCTCTCTCTCATTCTCTCTCTCTCAAATAAATAAATAAATCTTTAAAATAAATAAATAAATAAATAAATAAATAAATAAATAAATAGAAAAAATATAGCTACAGGTGAAAAAGTAATACTGTCAATATGTGTGTACAAAGAGTTCTACACAACATAGGAGGCACTGTGGACAAATGGGTAGTAACATATATTAAGCCCCTGCTCTCGTGAAGCTTGTAATTAGAGACAAATGAAAAAAAAAAACATGTTTATTTAGTACGGTAATTGATGAGGAAATAAAAGGCAGAGAAATGGACTGTCAAGGTTAACTAGGGAAGGTCTTCCGAACATGCCAAAGTTAGACCTTTAATTTTAAAGGCTGGCAATACTGAGAGGATGTGGGAAATGGCGCATTATAGGAGGAGGAAAAGTTTTTAGGAATGTGGGTGGAAAATTTAGTAATGTATTGTTGTGATGGCAGCAGGCAAGGTGCATGACAGACAGTGGGGCAGAAGGAAAACAGAAACTTCTAACTGGGGACAGAGCTTCAGCTTGGAATCCCTGTTCCACTATGACCTATCTGTCTGACTCTGGACAAGTCACAACCCTCCCTGTGTCAGTTTTCTCACTTTACAAAATGGGAAAATGTAGCTTGGGTCGGGGGGCTGACCGACGGCATGAGATGAGGCATGTTAAGTAAAATACGCAATAGAAAGGTGCTTAATCATGGTAGGTATCATTACTCTTGAATCCACAGGCAATTCACCCCAATTAGTTTCAGAGCACTTACAAGGCAAACCTATGTGAAATTCAATATACCTGCTACAGCAGGTTTGAAAAAAACTTTTTTTAAACTGGCAATTGCAACCTATTACAAAGAGCCCTAAATCAAAAGAAAACAATGACACACTAAGAAAATGGGTTGTGATTAAGATACTATAAATGCATTTATTGGTAGTATTACTGAATGCTGAATGCAGAGATTAAAATACAAAGAAATCAGCACTTAAAATCTTTAAAAAATGCAGTATCTTTACATATATGTTAACCAATTCTGCTCATCTAGATTTACAAACATAAAGCGAATTCCAAAGCTTTCATTCTGAATATACTCTGATTTTGAGTTCTAGTGTTCTCCATTCTGAAGTCGGCTTTTATTTTGTTGTCTTTTACCAAGTATGATTTATTTTGTTTCTACCCTAAAAACAAGACTCTGTGAGCTGATCCTGAAGCAGTCAGTTATATCAGGAATTTTTAAACAGCTCTTTAAGAGAGGATAAAGCCACATGAAAGAAAACACCTCAATCCTACATATATAAATACAAGAGAAAATAGCAAGAAGCAACAAGAATCACAGAAATGTCAATCCTACTCTAAAGTAGCAACAATTCAATTAGCAGTAGCTTAGATGCCTTTGTTCTAAAAAATAAAACCATTAGTTCTTTCACTACAATTTTCTGACTATACTCAGTGAATAATTATCAACTCTTTATATACTTTAAAAAAAATCAAGAATATGATTTATACATAACACACTCATTGACAGAAGAGGCCTTCAAACATACTGCTGAAAGCTGCAATATAGTTTGGGGACCAGATTTCAATTTACATACTATCACCATCCGTAAAGAGTTTACGGCACCCAGTACAATAGTGCTCAGCACCGTCACCTCAGAAATGCTCCATCCACTCTTGCATCAGAGAATTACTGATACGGATGAGACTGTTAAGACAATTCTAACGGGGCCTCTAAACAGGATTGCATATAAAATGAAATAATTATCACCTATGATACAGTTGTAACAACGCAGCTAGCCTGTAGCACGGAATTTTTCACAATAATAACACTACAGAATTACAGTGACAGATGTCAGAATGATCTTTCCCTGCTAACTACTGAGTAGAAAAAGAGTTTTCTGACTATTTTTGATGAACAGGAGTTCTTTGATATAAACACTAGGGGAAACTGGAAAGTGAACAAAATGAACTCAAGTTCTTTTTTCACAGATATTAACAACAAGCAAAGCAGTTTACAAAAAAAAAAAACAAACCCAAAACTATCCTATAAACAAATAAATATCAAATCAATCATTTTTGAAGAAAATATAGCTCATTTTCAAAAGTTCTGTTTGGTTTGTAACTAGACTTGAAAATATTAAAATAAACCAAACAGAGTCCCACATACTGATTTGCTATACAGGATGTGAAAAAAGCACTTCAAGTTTTAAGCTTAATGTTTCATTCTCTCCCCTCTTCCCAGAAAAGAAAAAGAAAAAGAAAAAGAAAAAAAGGGGCTCTTGCAAAAATAAACAAAACCTAAACCAACCAACTATCAAAAAGTAATCACAGAAGAAAACCTCTCTCTTTTTGAATACTTCACTTTAGTTGGTCCCATATTAGGTAAGGTTTCTGTAGCAAGACTCCCTAGTCTCTTCCTTAATCTTTCATTCTTCAGTCACGGACCTCCATGTTTTTATCAAACAAGGCTATGTGAAGGCTTTCCTAACAAGTCGGGGTGAGTCAGAGGTAGCTTTAGGATGAAGTATACTTGACTACGGTATGTGGTTGGTTCAAATGAACACGTTGTTCGAAAAGGATTACAATACATAAAAATGCACAAAGAAAAAATGTACAGCCCTCACTGCCTTGCACTAAGAGAAAACGCTTGAGAAACTCAGAACAAACAGTGGAAGCCAGGGAAGAGGCACTGGCCCCATCCCCATGGGCTCCTTTAATGCACCAGTTCAGGCTGGTTCTCCACGAAGGGGAGCACCCCGCTCACGTAGTATGCAATGCCAAGAGATAGCAAAGCAATGACAAAGATCAAGAGCAACACCCTCCAGAAGCCCAGGTCCTCGACAAACTCCTGCCATGTGGTTCGGAAGCTGGACAGGACTCCTTCCCCTTGCTGCAGGTTGGGATTGAGGAGAGAATGGCTTTCCATGGCACTGTGAAAGGAGCAAAGACAAAGGAAAGGGGCATGAACACCACATTCCACCCATTTCAGAAAGATACAACAGCAACCACGTTACTTAGAAAAGACAAGACACAACACTTACAAGAAGAAAACTGACAAATGTGCTCCCATACATTCATGTACTGATGTATGTATCTATCTGGTAATCTACCTTCAACTGTCAATTAAGCTGCAATGATTATGTTTCTTGCTGGTTTAGTATCCAGCAGAGTCAGAGTTAAAAATTCTTTTCTAATGAAAAGGTCCCAAGCAGAAGTCTTGACTATAGGTCAGATGAGTTGTTTCAAACTCCTAGTATCTAAGTAACCAAATTGTGGTTACTTTAAATTTAGAAAAATTCAAAACAAAGATTCATAATTTAAGAATTCATGTTAATGAAAATAAGCAAAGATAGGTAAATCTGTAAATGATTTTTAGAGTCACTTTTATACAGTGTGTGAATCTTAAAGTTAAAAGGGAATTTTCACTAACTTAGTTCAGTTACCTGACCAATAAAGGAATTACTTCTTTTAACTGTAATCCTCTAAAAACAGACACTTAGTTCAGTCTGTTGTACATCTGAACACGCCTAGCCATTAGGAATTCTTCTTAACAGCTTCCTCCAACTGGCTGTAGTTCTATCTTGTACAATAATACAAAATAAGTTTATCTCACTTCTGCATAAAGGCTGAATCTAGTCGAAAATAAGGTACCACAAGCCATAAAAAACAATGATTCTTGATTCTGGTTTTCAGAACTCTATCAAAGAGAAATATGACCCCTACAAGTAGAAAACAGGATATCTGACTTTGGTATGTGGACGGCCATACTGTGATGAATTCAAAGTTCGGAGGGATTAGCACCCACAATTATGTCGTAACATGCAGGTCCAATAACAGGGTATCATTTAGATTAATGCCACAATGACCATAATTCTATGTATCAACTATCTGTTGCTTATAAAAGGTAATTTACCACCCTTCCTAAACCCTCTCTCTTCATATTCTTCCAACCATCTGGGCATAGGACAATGGAAACAGAATAAAAGTGTCTTACAGTCTGGTTCATCATGCAAAAACTGGCATTTTATTTAACCTACAATTTTACTTTACTTCTTGACACTTAACCAGACATCCTTCAGCATTTACTAGTATTAAAGGTCTTCTCTCATCATAGGAAGCTGACCTCCCAATGGGCCACTCTGCTCGATAGCTGAGCTTTTCTTCTTTCTATATTAAAAGATGTTTATTCTCCAAATAAGAAAAGACATTTTCAGTGGGAGTCTACATGAATACAAAAATTTAAGAAAAGTGAAGCAAGTTCAAAAATAAGATTGGAACTTTGAGAAGGTTTAAACACATAAACATGAATATATAAAGAAGTTCAGGAGAGGTTAATTTTGACTTGTATGAAATATACTGACTATGTCCGAGTTGATGTGCTCTCATATTCAAAGATGTTAAGATATAAAATGAGGATTCAGCTGAGCAATCTCTAGGAGCTCATGAAGCTCTGCCAATCAGAATTTTCCATAGTGACCTTATCCAGTGAAATGTTTTCTACTGAATGTGCGTGTGCAATATTTTTTTTGTACGTGTGTCATCTACACTGTCTTTGTCATCCTATACCCACAGACATAAAAATAACTAAATTAAACTTAGGATATATGGGGGAGTGGGAAAATTTCATCATCTTGATTTATAGGCCCTTAAGTTATGCTATGTCTCAGAGAATCCTAAGAGTGATGGAAAATACTAAGTACATTCAAAACTTGCTTTATGCTCTGCTAATCATCACACAGCTTTGCCACAATGCCACATGCTAGCCAATCCCATTAAGCTTTATTCTCTAATTTTTTCTTTTGGTATAATTCACATATAAAATTCATCTTGTATAATTCAGTGGTTTTTAGTATACTGACAAAGTTATACAACCATCTCCACTGATTTCAGAACATTTTAATCACCTCTATAATCAACTCTGTACCCTTTAGCAATCACTTCCCATTGCCCCTTCCATCAGCTCCTGGCAACCACTAATCTACTTTCTTTTTGCCGATTCTGGACAATTCATATAAACGGAATTATACAATATATGGCTTTTTTGACCAGCTTCTTTTATAGAGGATGCTTTTATTTATTTATTTATTTTAAATGAAAGTGTTTTAATGGAGGATGCTTTTAAAGCTCATTCACGTTGTAGCAGATATCAGTAGTTCATTCCTTTTTATGGTGGAATATTCCACTAGATGCACAGATGACATTTTGTCTATCCATTTATCAGTTGATGGACTTTTGGGTGGTTTCCACCTTTGGGCTATTATAAATAATACTGCTATAAACATTCATGTACAAGTTTTTGTGTGAACCCATGTTTTCAATTTTCTTGGGTATATACCTAAAGTGGAATTGTTGGGTCATATGGTAACTCTGTGTTGCTTTTTGAGAACTGCCAGACTGTTTTCCAAAGCAGCTACCCTACTTTACATTCCCACCAGCAATGTATGAGGGTTCCAGTTTCTCCACATCCTCACCAATACTTGTTGTCGTTCCATCTTTTTGATTACAGCCATCCTACTGGTATGAAGTGGTAACTCGCTATGGCTTTGCTCTGTATTTCCCTAATAACCAATGATGCTGTCTTTAAGTTTTTTAATTTAAACTTCACCCATCACAGGTCTACCATGATACTGAGGGGCAGGAATAAGGTAGGGCAGCCAGGTAATACAAATACTAGTAATTCAATTTTTTAAGAACTGGCTTTACCCAATGCTATAAATAATACAAATCCTTATGCTAAAGGAAATGACAGGTATATGAGAGAAGCAGGAGTAAATATTTCATACAGAACAGCTCAAATGACTCATTTCTACTACTTAGTAAGTAATCACAACCTAGGCAAGATAAAGTTAAAAAAAAAATAAATCTATAATAAAGGAAAAAAAAAAGTATATTTCTGATACGGAGGTGCCAAGACACTGGCTATTAACAAAATATAGCAAGCAAGGTCCCCAGAACATACCAAGCAAAAACACATTCTTGGACATTTTTCATGGAAAGAAGCTTAAAGTATTTATGAAAATAAATTTCAAGTTATTTTGGAAGAACACGATCTTTAACAAATAATAGAAAACTCAATGTTACCATATTGCTTATGGCATTCCGTCAATCCAGAGTACACAGGTGAGAGAAAATATATCTTGGACTTCTTGCTTATTTTATCTACTTGTCAGCTTTCAGTGATAACTCATGACCAGCATGCACTGTTCTAGAAGTAAAGCTCTCATTTCTTTGGACAGTAGTAAGTTCTTGAAAGTATCTAAACAAATAGTCTGATCAGTCAAGCTACTGGGTCAACAGCTAATGAGGGCCCTTGAAATATATTCCACTGAAAATTTTGGGAAGTGACAATAGTAGGTTCATCATCTGTCCTACCTTGTAATTATCTGGAAGGCTGAAACTCCGTGGCAATCAACCAGACTCCATGCTAGTACAACTCAGTCTGGACTATGGACTTTCCCTGTGGAACTAGTGGGGCCAGGAGAAAAGACGATTTGTCACCTTTTCAGAGCTTCCTGAACCGTGTTGTAAACTGCTTCGAGATGAGAAATGACAAGATACTGAAAACCCTGTCAGTTACTACATCTTAGCATCAGTTACTTACAGGAGCCCAAATTGCATTTGTTCCAACTCATGGAAAAGTTACTTTCACTTTCACATTACTGAATTGTGTGCTAAATCTTCATTTCTCTCTTCCTGTTTTACTTTTCCTCAGCACTCCACTTTCCTGCCTTTGAAATGGCCTTTTTGGTCTTTTCTAATACTGTCCAAGTTTCTAGCCTTATCTTTCTCCTCCTTTCTGCAGTTCCATTTGGCTTGTGACCTGCACTTGAAATTCTCAAACTCCTGCTTCCTTCCCTCATATCCAGCTCTTAACCACCTCTTCCCCTTGTGCTGACAATACTGCAGCCTTCCTTGCACAGGGACTAAGAGAACATTACGTGCATGTGGGCACGTAGTACTTTCTGTTAATAGCTTCTCAATTGTAATCTGGAGCCATACGGACCTATATAAACTTCAAAGAAAGTATCAAAGCTCTGTACTTGAAAGCAAATAAATAGAAAGCTCACAAAGTTGTCATAAAAGATCCAAAGACTTAAAGTGACTTGCCCCTTAAAAAATTACATTGTTAAGTACCTTTCACTCTCAGCTGTCTGCATGGTCTCCAGTTTTGAGTGAGTTCCTCTGTTAAACCCTTTTACCTCTTGTTCTTCCAAAGATTCCAGCAATCGGATGACATCTTTATTCACTCCTCTGCGCTTTGCCAGAACCAAGGGTGTAGCACCTTGATGATTACTAAAAAAGTTCATAAATATAAAGAGGTCATCATAACAGTTGGGATTATATTGTTAGTACCCACCTGTGTAGATCTCAGTGACAAAGGCATGGGCCGAATTAACTCAAAGCCCAGAGCAGAACCAGTGGTTGAACTGGAACTTGAATTTTGAGTAAACCTATTTTTTTTCCTTGTAGGGAAAGAGGAAAAAGAATATAGAGGCAAAAGAGTAAATACATGAGAATAAATAAAAGAAAAAGAGGACATTTTCTTAGAAATTAACTGGAAAGTTCTAGATTCTAGATTCATTCTTACCTGACATTTACATTTTATGGCAATAGAGCATATTGAAAAAAAGAAAAGTCTAAGAATTAAAAACAAATAAAAGCCCAAAGCAACCAAATAAGCTGCTTTGGTTCACCTACCTATTTAACACTAATAAGAGAAGACAGCCAAGTAACAGTGACTCCCATAGCCAATTCCCACCACATTTGTCCACCACATTTGCTGTCTTTTTCAGATTTAGGGACCAATAAATCAAGGCAACATGTAAGTGTAGTTTAAATGTCAAGCTCAGTTTTAAAGATGGTCTCACACCTTTTCCACTCTAGAGACAAGGTATCACTAAAACAAACACTTCTTCAAACTGTTCAGCATAAAAAGGACTCTGAGCCCCAGAGAGATTATGAAGCTAGCATGGTATATTATATGACAGAAGACAGTTTGGAATCAGGTGGAACTAGGTTCAAATTCCAGCTGTGTGACCTTTTTGTTTAAACCCTTCTTGTCTCAACTACTGCATCTGCAAAACGAAGATAACACTGACCTCAAGAGCTATTCATTCTAAGGATTAAATGAGCTAAGGTAAGTAAACACAGCGCCTGGTCCATAACAGCTATTCAACAAATGTTAGTTCTTTTCTTTTTCCCTTATCTGACAATACACAATTATTGGTAGCAGAACCTCACCACTGTTCTCATAGAAAAACTTGCACCACTTCAGCATCAATCTAGAAGTCAGCCTCTTGTTTCCTCACTCCCCTAACAAGATTACCTTGTCCTCCATGCCTTGTTGAACTTGTCACTGTAGATGATCAACGAGAAAGCAGAATCAATAGACTCTGAGATTGGACCAATGGCTGACAAACTAATGGGAAGAAATGACCAGATTTCAAAAACCACAGAGGACTTACCAAATATCAATTTTGAGTCCATTGGAAACTAAGAATTGAATAGTATCCACATGGCCACAGAGATGCAGGGCTGTGTTTCCTTGATAATCTGTGGCCAGAAGATCAGCACCAAATTTATGCAACAGTTGGCAGATGTCAACATTCCCTCTGGCTGCTGCGAGGTGAAGGCCTGTTCTGCCCCTGCTGTCACGAATATTTGGGTCAAAGCCGCTTTCCAAAAGCCGCTTGGAATAGTTAAAGTCTCCATCAATACAGGCTTGTAGCAAGGGCACATTAGTCTGAGACGAATCATTTACAAAAACGTAGGACATTATTCTGATGGAGCGGATGGACTATGCCTGTAATGAAATATGAGGTGAGATTCAGTGAAGCCAAACTAAATGAAGACAATGAAGTCATTTAGAGAAGCACTATTTCTTATCCTTCTTGGCCTCCTGCCTCTAATAAATTACCTCACCAAACAGAAACAACAACAAAGTTATCAATTACGTTTTATTTCTCAATAAAATGTCTTATTTTCTTCATATCCATTTGATCAAAATTGCAATTAAATTACTATAAAGCTCTATTTTGCTTTTCATTAAATAAAAAGATTAAGAGAGATTTTTAAAGGTAAGGAAAATATAATCACTTAGATTTAAGTTTATTGCATTGTCAGAAGACATATATAACATGATCCTTAAACTTCAAACACACGCTACTGCTGGTAGAGATTCTTATTTAAAACAAAGTAACTCTCTTTCACATATTTGCCTTTTATCATATTTGATATATTCTACATGGTAAACAGAACTATCTGCTCAAAAGTTAACTAAATCAGCAAGAAAAAATAATGAAATAACTTAATTCATATTCAATAAAGACCTGCTGAATGTTTTGTCTATAGCACGAACTTCAATTTTCAGGGGAAAGAGAAAAGCTAAGAAAAGCAACAAACTGAATTTAAAAATTGGAAATACCATGAAATCAATTCAGACTGTCTTTTTTACAGTATTGATTCTATTCTGTGGTTATCTAAGTATCTGATTTTGCCAAACTCCCATTGTCTGAAGACTGAGAGATGAAGAAAAACAGGTCTGTCTGGGAATTCAGAGGCAGGACAAAGGCAGCAATCCCAACTGTGTCCACCCCACAAATTTCATCCATCTGAGGAACCTAGCCTCTCCAGCGCGTCCACACCTCTTTCACTGATACTTCTTGCTCCAGCAGTTTCTTGGACTGTGTGTGTGTGTGTGTCTGTCTGTCTGTCTGTCTCCCTGACCTCCTCTTGGTTCATTTAAGGAAAGTTAAAGTCTGACAAAAGAAACCTTACTAAGAAATTGAAGAGAAAATAAACCAAAAGAAGAAAACACAAAGGCAGAGACCAATGTGTTTACAGAGATGACTCCCTCACTCTACAGTCACAAAAGCTGAGTCACAGACAGGGTTGGCTTGTAATTTGTCAAACAAAGTCTTTCTTTCTGGAACACTGATGGAACTGGATGTTAGACCAATCTATTCTTGTGTCTGACCTCAAGGGGATTCAGGAAAACATGGCTACGGAGTTTGGTGAGATTCTTGGCCCCCACTCCTTTTAGCCTGGTTTCCCAGCAGAGCCATGGTCCCTCTAGACATGAGCTACTTGCCCCTAGAGCTCTGCTGCCTCCACGGGTTCTCTGTGCAAAGGGGAAACAGTCACACACACTGAGGGCCTGCTCCAAGCTAGGCACCACACCAAGGGTGCCTAATGCATTTTATTTCATCTTCCTAACAACTCTATGGTAAGGGTTATTATACTGAATTTTAGTAAGGAGTCACTGAAAGATTTCAAGCCAAGGAAATGGCATGGTCTTTTAGTCTTTCAGAAAGATTACTCTGTCAGCAACAGGGAGAGGGTAGATTAGAGAGGGTCAAGGCCGGGGACTGGGAGATCAATCAGCAGGTCACTGCAGAAATCCAGTCAAGAAATGATGACAGCCTGATCTGAGGCCGTGTCAGAGAAAAGGGAACACAATGGAGACGGATAGAGAAGACAGAATTAGCACAACTTAATGACCCGCTGCATAGAACAGGTGAGAAGGAGTTGTTAAGGCTAATTCTAAATAGGGGAAAAATCTGCTGAGGATTAAGAATTACAGAGATCAAGATAAAATAGACTTCAGATTTTGACACTATATAATGCTTTTTAAAGAAATTAACCCATTGAGGGGCGCCTGGGTGGCTCAGTTGGTTGAGCGACTGCCTTCGGCTCAGGTCATGATCCTGGAGTCCCTGGATCGAGTCCCGCATCGGGCTCCCTGCTCGGCAGGGAGTCTGCTTCTCCCTCTGACCCTCCCCCGTCTCATGTGCTCTCTCTCTCTCTCATTCTGTCTCAAATAAATAAATAAAATCTTTAAAAAAAAAAAAAAAAAGAAATTAACCCATTGAGAAGAAACTGCTCATTAAAATAGTCAAGAATTCTCTTTTGAGGGTAGCCTCCCTATTTTCCCCTACAGTATTCCTTGGATTAGATCATTAAAAAGGACAAAGCTATCAGAAGCATTTTTAAAAAACTAAAATACCACATATCAAGTGCTTTTCAAGAGATAACATGTTTTTGTTGAATTCTGTAAGAACAGATAATGAAAAACAAGCTACTTGATATTTTTGTTTCTAACACAGTAAGAATTCTTGTGGTTTGAAGACTTGGGATTCTTTTGAATGTTGGCTCAGTGGGGAAAAAAAAAAAAAGCCTTCCTTGTTTATTTTTTAAGTGAGAATAAGTATGGTATATTTTTCTTTGTGTCCTTGAGAAACTAACTTTACCCCCAAATTTAATAAGGCCAATGATAGATAACATTTTTCATCTTGATCACAGAACTGAATCTGCCACAAAGCAAGGCATCGAAGCTTTCACATACTCTGAGGAAGCTGACGGCAGAAAAATACTCATGTAAGCCTGAAGATTATATCTTTCTTTCAGTAGTCAGCCAGCAGTTTCTCTGAATTCTTAAGAAGGTTCAAGAGAATATCCAGAAATGTGACAGCAAGGATCTACAGTAAATAGAAACTTTAGTTATAACAAGGGTGTGACATGAAGTCTAGCTGTTCTATTAAACACAGACAAGCTGGTGGGGTCTGTGAATATTCTCCAGAAAATCTATGGGTAATGCATCAATTTGCGAGCTAGTAGTAACTGACAAGTAATAAAGTAGTGAAAAGGGAGAACAGAAGGCCTCCTAAGGAGTGACTCTGTTGCCCACAAACAAGAACGCATGGTCAGAAAGATAAAAGAAAAAGAATCAAATTATGTGCCATCAGTAGAGAACAAACTGGACTCTGAAAATTCATGCTAAGTCCCTGGAATTCAGAATGCACATATTTCACGTGTTAGATCTCAGAGCAGCCCACAAAAACATTTCTAGAAATAAAATGCTATTTGCATGGGGGGAAAGTAAAAAGAACCAATACTTACATCTAAACCAAATAGAATACATTTAAGAAAAAATATTTCTAATCCATCCTGAATGCTGGTACTTGAATCTCCCCAGGAGATTGATCCTCTGCCCCCTTTGCTTCTCAGTGTGAAAGAAAAATTGGCCCAGATCTATCTGCAGACTTTTCCACATGCCAGACCCTGCTTCTCCTGAAATATGCTGCTGCCTCACCTTCCTGCTCTTGCGGGGACCCCCTCAGGTTTCCCCTCTGTACTCAGACATCTCAAGTACCTCGTCTGCCCCGCTATACTCTTCTCGTGAGGGACTGTGGAACAAGGGCCACGCACAGGCAGTAGGGGCCACAAAAAATCAGTATTAATCCATGAAACTAACAGTTACTATGTGCTCAAAATATGGCAAATACCATGCTAAGTGGTAGGATATAAAGACTAAATCCCGAATTTATAGCTCAGGTTGAGATTCAGATTAAGCTTTTACTGGTCATTCATGCTCAATTTTTATCAAATCCCTTTAAATAAACTTGTATGAGAAATAATTAATGGTATTTTATGAGGCTCCATTTAAATACATAAGTCAGGTTGTATCATAAGGGTTATCAGTGCTAGACTGGAAAATGAGGGCTGACAAATTGTATGTACCAATTTAGACAAACTTCAGATTACTGAGCCACTTAATTTCCTTGCACGAATATTCTGAATTCACCCAAAGTAGAGTACCTTTACTTTCTCATCATGACCACTGGGGGCTGGATCTTCACGACTAAAACCTACCTCTGATATACGATTTTCAAGGTTAAAATGGTACAGGTGTTAGAATTCTGAAAATAGTAGGGTTCGCATTACGAAAAGGTCAAGCTTTGCTTCTCATGTGGAGACAGAATTATAGATTATATAGTTACCCCTTCAAATGACCTGTTAAATTCATAAGGAAGTTCCTAAACTGATGGTGACCAGAAGGGGAATGGGTGGGGGATGGATTAAATAGGTGATGGGGATTTAGGAGTGCACTTGTTGTGATGAGCACGGAGTGCTGTATGGAAGTGCTGAATCACTACATCGTATGCCCGAAATTAATATTATACTATATGTTACCTAACTGGAATTTAAATAAAAACTTAAAAAAAATTCACAAGAAAGTTTCTTTAAATTCACAAGACAATGCTTCTGCCATTTTCTTCTGATGACAAGCCCCATAAGAAAGTACATTTGATCAAATTACAGATTTATGTGATTTCAAACTTATTACACAAATGCATTAGACCTAATTATACTTGAAACCTCCAAGAAAATGTCTAAGACCCCAATTAGAACTTAATCACTAGAAATCTGTTAATAGCTTCTCAAGAAGTTATGAAAGTGAGTAAAACTTAGAATACATATTAACTATGGTTCAAAGAGTGAAGAGGACTAAAGATTTTTAAATTAAACTTTTTGAGATAATTGTAGATTCACACGAAGTTGAAAGAAATAGTACACAGAGATCCTATGTACTTTTACCCAGTTTCCCCTGAGGTTAATATCTCACAAAACTATAATATCACAACTAGGATACTGACATTGCTAATTAAGATCTAGAACATTTCCATTACCACAGAGCTCTCTCATATTGCCCTTTTACAGCCACACCTACTTCCCTCCCACCCCCACCCCACCTTATCCCCTGGAAACCACTATCCTGTATTCCATTTCTAGAATTCTGTCATTTCAAGAATGTTATATAAATGGAACCATACAGTATGTAACCTTTTATTTTTTTCACTCAACAGAATTCTCTGAGGATTCATTCAGGTTGTTGTGTATATCAATAGTATCATTTTTTCTACTGCGGAGTAGTGTTCCATGGTATGAATGTACCACAGCTTGGTTAGCCATTCACCTTTTGAAGGACATGCGGTTGTCTGCAGTTTGGGGGTGTTATGTTAA